GAAACTGAACACGGGTTGAAAGCTAGCGTGATGCCACCTGCCTTACCCGTCCCCGTCACCTTGCACTCAGGGTATGTCTGTGTATTGGCAGATGGGGAACGGCTGAGAGGGAGAACAGTTAAGATCGGCCACGCATCGACCCCTGTGGAAGCTGGCTCCTGGATACGTGGGGCGTCTTTATACTCTTCTCTTTACTTTTGCATATGGTCGGCTTTTCCAAAATAAACATTTTAAAAGATTTCCCCTTCTTTATTACTTCTTAAGGTTAAAATATGGAGAGCTAGGGGTGCCTGGGTGGCTCAGTCGGTTAAGCGTCTGGCTTCGGCTCAGGTCATGATCTCACGGTTTGTGGGTTCGAGCCCCGCATCGGGCTCTGCTGGCGGCTCGGAGCCCGGAGCCTGCTTCGGATTCCGTGTCTCCCTCTCTCTCTCTCTCTCTGCTCCTTCCCCGCTCACACTCTGTCTCTCTGTCTCTCTCAAAAATAAATAGACCTGGGGTGCCTGGGTGGCTCAGTTGGTTGAGCGTCCGACTTCAGCCCAGGTCATGATCTCGTGGTCCATGGGTTTGAGCCCCGCATTGGGCTCTGTGCTGACAGCTCGGAGCCCGGAGCCTGTTTCAGATTCTGTGTCTCCCTCTCTCTCTGACCCTCCCCTGTTCATGCTCTGTCTCTCTCTGTCTCAAAAATAAATAAACATTAAAAAAAATAAATAAATAAAAAATAAAGATAAATAGACCTTAAAACAGTTAATTGAAATGTGGAGAGCTAGTTTTGAGGAGCCCTGGAGTCTTAGACCTTGAGCACCGTCACCGCAGAGTCCTCTCTTCGCTAAAGCCTGAACTCCTGAGTGCAGGGTCCGACTCCCATCTTGCTCCGTCACCCGGCGCCGTGCTGTGCACACGGTGCCACGGGCAGCTCGCTTCTCAGGGGCGGTTCGTGAAATGCCAGACGCTGTCCTGGGGCTGCTTGTCCTTCCTGTGTGTTTTCTAATCCTTGGGACAAATAGCTGCCACTTTACTAAGAGCTGCTATGTGCCAGACCCTATACTAAGTGCGTGTCACACATTATCTCATTTGGCCCTTGCTGCAGGCAGGCACTAATATCCCCATTTTAAAGAGATGACTCCTCTTTAAAGCTCAGACGGGTTGTCTTATTTGTCAGGGTTCACACGCTAAGACAGACAGCTGGATTTAAAGCGGCTTTTGCTTCCAGGTGCACATTCTTTCTGCTCTCTGCCTCTTATAGGTGAGACTCTGTGCCTTTGCACCAGCGGGTCAACTACGGGGCAGCCGCGGCATCACCCGAAAGTGTGTCTTTGCTTTTGGTCTTTTTATAGAAATGCCTTTACTTTGAGCACTGGCTCCCCCAGTTATGTATATTAGGTTCATATAACACAGTAGTTGGACCACGTTTCCCTGAAAGTTGGCTTTCTTGGGTCTTTGGATAAAGTTCCAAGGTGGAAGCAGACCACACTAAAACGGCATTTTCTCGTCCGATTTCGCCCTCCAGTATACCCTGCGCTGTGACATGAGGCGGTCTCTGTTGGCCAAGGACGTGACGAAGACCTGCGAATTCATCGTTCACTCCGCTGTAAGCTGTGTTTGGGGCTCTGCGCGTCATGATGGGACTCTCCCGTAGGGTCTGGTCTTTTCCCCCGTTTGTAGGCCAAGAAGTTAGCCTGGTGCTGTGTCGTGGCTGCTGGGGAAGAGACTCCTGGGTTGGAGACAGGGACCCTGGTGTCTTCCGGCAGGATCAGAACCCTGCAGGGGGCCGTGCCTCCGCTGAGAAACAGCGGGCAGGGGCCCACCTCTGTCATAGCAAGCAGCAGGCCTGTTTCCGAGGGACGCATCTCTTCCTTTCTCAAGGTCATGACGACCATACAACCCAGAGCAGTGGCCCGCCTCAGACAAGGGATGGTCAGGACCTTACCTTGTTGGCACGCCCAGTGAGAGCACACAGGGACCTTCGGGGTCAGGGTGGGTCGCTTCTCCCAACACTTCCTTTTTTTTTTTTTTTTTAATACATTTTTTAAAATGTTTTATTCATTTTTGAGAGACATAGACCATGAGTGGGGGAGGGGCAGAGAGAGAGAGGGAGACACAGAATCCGATGCAGGCTCTGGGCTCTGAGCTGTCAGCACAGAGGCCAACACGGGGCTCGAACCCACAAACCATGAGATCACAACCTGAGCCAATGGCAGACATTTAACTGACTAAGCCACCCAGGCGCAACTCTCCCAGCACCTTCTGTTACTATTTTGCAGTGACAACATATTCTTTATTTTATTTATTTATTTATTTATTCATTTTAAAAAATTTTTTACAACATATTCTTTAAAATTCCCTTTCACGTGCCGACTGAGGGAACTGGATCCCTCTCCCCTGTGGCTGTTGGCGCTTCCGGGTGAATTCAAGGTAGAGTCCGCAGCACATCTGTGCTGTTCCTTGGTCATCGTGCAGAGCCTCACGGTGACTGGCCCTGTCCGCCCTCGGTGTGACACGTGTGACGGATGTCCACAGCATTGGATTCCCTTGTCTCCCCGGCCTCTCTGCAGGCCGTGTCGTCCTTCCCTTCCCTGGGCTGTGTGCTCACACCTCCAGGTCAGGGCCGGCTCTTGCTTTCTCTAGGCCAATGGCCGCCTAGACTGAGATTGCAGCGCATCTGCCTTTCATTTGATCCTGAGCAGTTTGGAGACGGAAGTGGCCAAACTGGGGTTCCTGGAGGCGCCCAGGTGAACGGGGTCTGGACGTGTCGGCTCACGTCTGCCTGGGCCGTCCCCGGGCTGACCAGGGAACACCGCTTCTGAGGGCCTCACCGGGCCGGGTAAGGCCCGTGCGTGTGCTCCGTGAGCGAACGGGTTCTGTGGGGCTGCGGGCCATGTCAAGATGGCACCAAACCGGACAGACGCAGAAGCCACTAGCTTTCCCTGACTCTCTTCCCTTCGTAGGTTATTGCGCAAGGCGCCGCGTCCTGGGGACCCCACACGTTTCCCGTGGTCCCTGCCACGTGCCTTAGTAAATGGGGGCTTCTACAGAGTTCCGCGGGGAGGCACGTTGCTTTTGTGGAAAATTTGCAATTGTATTTCTTTTGTACTGTTATGAAATGTCCATGGATGTCTTTTAGTAGTGGTTACATAAAAATGTAAGACTTAAATCTCTCGTGCAGAAGATTGGCAAAATCACCGATGTCCTTTATTTCCATCATTTTTGTAATTTTTTTTTAGGACGTCTAACATTTATCATTAACCCCTTATTAAATTTTTAATAATCATTGTTTAAGTATTTTAGTGATAATATATTATATAAAATATTAAAAATATATTATTCTTTTTTTGGAAGTCATGTGATTTAGGTATTTTCCTTTTTTGTATCAAAGGTCTTCACATGGAAGCAAAAAAAATTTTTTTTTCTTTAATGTGGATTATTCCATAAAAGAGACATATACCCTTTTTATGTCTTTAACAAAAAGAACCTCCAGCTTTGTGAAGGAGAATAAACCCAAATTCAGCTCCCTGCCCAGAGCCACACTCCAGGCCAGGTCTTCCCTGACCCCTGACCCCCAGCCTGCTCGTGACTGCAGGGCCCTGTCAGAGGTCAGCTCAGGGCAGGCACCAGTGGCAGGGCCGTGTGGGGCTTCCTCCCTGCTCCCGGCAGCTTACCAACACCCAGCCTTCAAGGACCGTGTTTTTGGGGGCGCCTTGTGGCTCAGTTGGTTAAGCGTCTGACTTTGGCTCAGGTCATGATCTCACCGCTCATGGGTTCGAGCCCCATGTCGGGCTCTGTGCTGACAGAGCCTGGAGCCTGCTTCGGGTTCTGTGTCTCCCTCTCTCTCTGCCCCTCCCCTGCTCATGCTCTACCTCTCTGTCTCTCTCAAAAATAAATAAACATTAAAAAACTAATAATAAAAAAAGAACTCTGTTTTTGGGGTGCCTGGCTTGCACAGTTGCTGGAACGTGCAGCTCTTGATCTCAGGGTTGTGAGTTCGAGCCCCATGTTGGGGCTTAAAAATCTTAAAAATAAAATCTTAAAAAAAAAACTACAAAAATAATCCTGTTCTTTTTTACGAACGATTTCATGAGAAGGATAAAACCATGCTGTGATCTCTAGTCGACAAGTTAAATACTCCTTTAAATGCCGTGAGGAAGAATATATCCACTAAAGACTATGTTCATGAACCTATTAATAAGAATATTGCGTAGAATACGCCTTTGGTAGATGAGTAAACTTGGCATTTTGGCTCCTGGCATCTGGGTGTCAGTGGCCTTTGGATCCCAGCGCTGGAGCGGAATCTGCCAGGCAGGCCTTCATGAAGCTCGGCGGTGCCGATGGGTTCCGCAGCTGTGTGACGTGGAGGTGACCGTGCTTGGCTGACGATGGCAACATTTAGGATTATTTAATGGGAGTGATCCTCCCGGTGGACATTTGGACGGCTGGGTGGCTCACGGTGCCGGCCTTGGAGCCAGACCACCCGGGTTTGAATCTCGGTTCTGCCACTTGAGACCATCTGAGTTCTCTGTGCCTCACTGTCCTTGTCTGTGAAGTGGGGCCAGTGACCGTAACAGCACCCCGTAGGCTCGTCGCGCTCAGTCAGTAGCACATCAGAGGTACTTGGCGTCAGCTCTTATTCTAAGAGCTTTAACGTGAATACCTTCCAATAATACTACCCTTGGTTCTTAGGTCTGATTTTTAATTCCCGGACCTGAAAGGGACCTGATAGGTTAAGAAAGTGGTCCCTCATTTTACAGATGAGGAAACTGAGTCACAGGGGATGAAGAAATGTGACAAAGAGCACAACACTGTCTTTCGGCAGAGCTGTGTTTGTAGAACCCAGGTGAGCTGCCTCGCACTGCCAGCTCCACCCCCCCCCCCCCCCCCCCCCCCCCCCCCCCCCCCCCCCCGATCCATTCTGCTGCCTTTCATCTGTTTAAAAACAGAAAGGGAAGTTGGACCCGTGGAACCCTGGGCCTTCAAGCAGCTGATGTTGGTTTTACCTCTTGTTTTAGCCTCAGAAGGGGAAGCTGACCCCGAGCCCTGTGGACTTCACTATCACTCCCGAAACCTTGCAGAACGTCCGAGAGGTACGTGCACTTCCCACTTGAAAGCCAGAGATGTTTTCTTAGTGACCGGACTCCGCAGACAGACCGTTGACCAAGGGTTCCTTCTTTGGGTATGAGGTCATCAGCAAGAGTAACGTTCTGATTATCTCTGTACCCAAAATAGCCTGGATTTTTCGTTTGACTTCTTTTTTTGTTTTTAATGTTTATTTGTATTAGAGAGTGTGTGTGTGTGCGTGCGTGAATGTGAGTGGGGGGAAGGGCAGAGAAAGACAGAATCCAAAGCAGGGCTCCAGGCTCCAAGCTGTCAGCACAGAGCCCGACTAGGGGCTCGAACTCAGACTGTGACATCATGACCTGAGCTGAAGTCGGCCGCTTAACTGACTGAGCCACTCAGGCGCCCCTGGTTTGATTTCTTTTTAAACTCGGTAACTACTTCGAAGAAGAATGCTTTTCAGAGGCTGCTCCGGAGGCCTGTATGCCCACCATGGTCCCCCCCTCTCCTCCCGGTTCTATTGTGCTGCAGTCAGAGCCCCTTTTCCCTGAGTCCCGACCACCCCTGCACCCCTCACTTCTTAGCTGGCCACCTGCTCTCTTGTCCGAGGGCCTGGCTCTTCTTCCCTGCTGTCGTCCCGCATTCTGCTGTCCGGACCCTGTCATCTGGGTTAAAGGCAAGTCTGGGAGGCCTGGGGCACAGGAGCGGTTATTGGCCTCCCTGAGGAGGCAGGGGTGTGTCCTCAGGTGCCTCTCAGAAAGTCCCTTTACCATCTGGAGGGGACAGGACCCCCATGGTCCGGTTGGCTTGTACTCTCACAGGGATTTGAACGTGACTGGACACGTGCAGGGAATGCAGGTGGTAGTGATGGGCTGAGGCTGCGGCCGCGGCCCGGATCTCACTGCCCTGGTCCCTCCCCGGCCTCGGCTGTTCAGCCCGAGAACTACCCAGTAGTGTCCCAGTTGGCGCTCATGCTCTTAACTGGTTTGTGTTTCTTAGGAATCTAAACAATACAGAACCAGGTGACAGAACGGGAGAGGGGAGGGGGGCTGAGTAGATCCAAGAGCGTCTTGTAAAGAGCACCCAGCCAGATCCTTTGAACGAGTTTGTTTTGTTCCTTCCATCGTGTCCTGCGTGTACCTTAATGGTACCTTAATGTGTACCTTAATGTTTCTCTTTTTGCCTGGCCTTGGTCTAATTGATTAAGGTCGCAAGGGTTTTTTTTTCTGTTAGCGTACTGTTACTTGCTCCTTTTTTCTCTAACATCCTGTTTCTGTTTTCCTAACAGTTATCCCCAAATGTTCAAACATGCAGAGACAATCATGCGTTTCAGTAACAACGCGGAGAACAAGAACCTTCTGCCGGAAGGTTTATAACATTTTCGCATTTTCCTCCTACCACACCCTTGTTTGTTGAAATGGTCTGAAATCTAAGGTCAGGTTTGTCTGTTTCATTTTTCTCAGTGTTAATTAAGCCTCTGTTGGCTTAGAAGCCATTTCTCATAGTTGCCTGAACTATCACAGGCAGGATTTAACTGTCACTGCTTCACTGGAGGTGTCACCGTGGTCATCGCTGCCTGTTGCTTCCTCTCCCATTCTCGTGTGTCTTCAGTTTATTTTCTGTGTTGCTGGAGTACATCCTAGAGTCATTCTTTCAGAAAGGGCGAGGAGTGAACTTACATCCTTGAGTGTCTAACAGACACTAGACACTGGAATCCTAGTTTGTCCAGGTCGAAGACTCTGGCTCTAATTTCATTTGCCCTTAGAACTTGGGAAGTAGCTGCCTGGTGTTCTGGTGCCTCATGATGCTGATGATGACCTGATCCCCAAATTTGTGCGAGCTCATCTGTGTCTCCTCCCTCTTCCTTACCCAGCCCTGAAAACTTCCAGTGTCTCCCCATCCTTAGCATTGTGGAACGTCTAAGCCCTTGCCCGGATTTTGATGTTTCCTTAGTCAGTGTGCCTGCTGTCTTTCCTTCAGCTCTGTGACCATCTCTCAGTGTCTCTTAGACGTGTCCCAGCAGAGTCCTCGGCTCGGTCTTCCAGCTCACTGATTTGCTCTTTGGTTGGTATGGAGCCCAGCTATTGAAACGTTTGCTTCGGGCGCCTGGGTGGCTCAGTCGGTTGAGCGTCCTACTTCAGCTCAGGTCATGATCTCACGGTCTGTGAGTTCAAGCCCTGTATCAGGCTCTCTGCTGACAGCTCGGAGCCTGGAGCCTGCTTCGGATTCTGTGTCTCCCTCTCTCTCTGACCCTCCCCTGTTCATGCTCTGTCGCTTTCTATCTCAAAAATAAATAAACGTTAAAAATAATAATAAAAATAATAATAATAATAATAATAATAATAAAAGAAACGTTTGCTTCAACAGCAGTGTGATTCATCTCCAAGCAGTTCCTCTCGCAAGATAGCGCCTCTTCCTGCAGACACACGGCCCTTCATCTCTCTTCCTGGTGATCCTGTTTGCTGACGTCGGCCTCTTTTTCTTGCTTTTATTTTCCTCAAGTGTCTATTGGTTTTTGGGTGTCAGCTTATGTTTATATAAACGAGGATCAAACGTGTGTGGCCTTGTTAACCAGACTCTCTGTCCTCAGCCCAAATGATAATCTGTCCTTGTGGTTACACACGCACACTCTACCTGAGGAGCTCTGCTGCAGGGGAGGGGCATTCGGCCCTGTGGGCTCTCTTTGGAGGTGTGCAGGTGGCTTGTCTTCTGGGGTCAGAGCCTTGTCGTCCTGCATTGTGGCCGTAAATGGGGACACTCGCCCAGCCTGCTCTGGGAGCGTCCTGGGTGGGAAGTCCCCCTCGAGGGGGACACGCTGACCCCAGAGGCCGCCCATGGCCAGTTCCGCCATCCCTGTGACTGCCCCGCCCCGACTGCCCCTTCCCCGGGTGGGCCCCACCTCTGACCTCAGGGCTGCCCAGGGCCTGCTGGGAGCACGCGTGTGCAGAGCTCTGTCTTCTAACCGCAGGACGTGGTTCCCTGAGCCGGGAGCTTCACTGTCCTTGCGCTTTTATTCACAGAAACACTTCACCGGGCTGGTCTTTCTCTGTGTAGCTTGTTTTTTTGTTTGTTTGTTTATGCCAACGTCATGTCCCCGGGAGGAGGGGTAAAGTGAATTATTAGTCAGAATCTTTAGCTGGGCGTTGAGAGCTTTTCTTTTTTGCCAGTTGCCTGAAAGAATTTTAATGCAGACTGCTACTGCTTTTTAGTTTTTGGAACAAATAGCCTCTCTGTAGTTATTTTTAGAACTTTGTCTTGAATCAAGTCTTTTTTTAGAGCTCTCTGCCCTTGGGGCCAGCAGGTCCCTGCACCCCAGTTCCGGCGCTGCCCGACAGGGGAAACCAGTCACGGCCACTGCTGGCCCCTGAGGTGTGGCTAGTCTGAACTGAGATGAGCTCTGGGTGTCAGGTCCTGACTGGATTTCAAAAAGAAAGAGAATATAAATGTAATTTAAAAAAAAAAAAATTTTTTTTTTTAACGTTTATTTATTTTTGAGACAGAGAGAGACAGAGCATGAACAGGGGAGGGTCAGAGAGAGAGAGGGAGACACAGAATCTGAAACAGGCTCCAGGCTCTGAGCTGTCAGCACAGAGCTCGACACAGGGCTCGAACTCACAGACCGTGAGATCATGACCTGAGCCAAAGTCAGACACTTAACCGACCAAGCCACCCAGGTGCCCCTAAATGTAATTTTTAATATTGATTATATGTGGAAGGGAGAGTTTGGACCTTTTGGTTGGTTTTAGCTGTTTCCTTTTACTCCTTAAAATATAGCTACTAGGAAATTTTAAATTACATAGGTGGTTCCCATTTTGGCTGCATTTTGTTTCTGTGAGACAGCAGTGCTCCAAACTCCACTTTAGTAACTGGGACCAGCGAGGTGAAGGCTTCTAGAACAGCTACCTCTGTTTATATCCACTTCCCACAAGAAATCATCATCCACCTGTGACCAGGTTCTTAGGTCTACAGAGGAAGCATCCAGAAGGTTTAGTCAAGCATTGATGACAATTGTTTTCTTTAAATGCCCTTGAGGGGTGCCTGGGTGGCTTAGTTGTTTGAGTGTCTGGCTCTTGATCTCAGCTCAGGTCTTGATCTCATGGTCATGAGTTCAGGCCCCGCATTGGGCTCTGCACTGGGAATGAAGCCTACTTAAAAAAACAGTAAATAAATAAAAAATAAAACTAAATGTAAAAAATTTTTTAAATGTCCTTGAAATAAATGCCTTCGCTTTTCAAAATTGCATAATTGGGAGCATAGCATTTTTTTTTTTAATGTTTATTTTAGGGAGAGACAGCATGAGCAGGGGAGGGGCAGAGAGAGAGGGAGACAATCTGAGGCAGGCTCCAGGCTCCCAGCTGTCAGCACAGAGCCCGACACGGGGCTCAAACCCACGAACCCTGAGATCGTGGCCTACGCCGAAGTCCAACGCTTAACCGACTGAGCCACCCAGACCCCAATAATTGGGGGCATTTTTAAGTTGATTATTTTTTTTAAAACCTTTTGGGTGTATGTGTGACCGGTTGCCCGTGGCCCTTACATGCTCTTGGCAACTTCCTCGGGCGTTTTTAGGTCGTGTTGCTTGGCAAGAAGGAGCTTTCCAGATCTGATCTAGGTGATCGGGACAGCTCCGAGGGAGCCGGCATTCTGTGCGGGCCGTGTGGACGCCTGGTGTCTGCGGGCATCTGTTGAGTAATTCAGTCTGTTAGCTGACTCGACCGTGGGTTTTACGAAAATCACCCAGCTTTGTGTTCGGTTTTTATCTGCACCGAGTGACTGACTGTGGAGTGATCTCCCTTGGCACCTTCGTCCCTGACGTCTTGCTTCTGTTCGTCGTAGAGAGCCCTGCTCCCCAAGTTTCTCATCAGGGGCCATCTCAGCTCAACCAGCTGTGTCATCACGCAGCCGCTGACGGGCGAGCTGCTGGTCGAGAGCTCGGAGGCCGCCATCAAGAGCATAGAGCTGCAGCTGGTCCGCGTGGAGACGTGCGGTAAGGGCCCTGCGGCCGGCGTGCCGAGGGGGCAGCGGGCAGAAGGGCGCGCCTCCCGCTTCCGGGACGTGTCCGTGTGAGAAGGCGCCACGCGGAGGGAGGCGGCTCGAGTCGCGTGGGGCAGACGGCAGCGCTGGGTGAGCGGGGTGACACAGGTGCTCACGGAGTCCCCGGGGTCTCTCGCTCGGCCCGTTTGGACACCCGCTGTATCCTGACCGCTCGGCGGCCCGCCTCCCCCAGGGTGTGCCGAAGGATATGCCCGAGACGCCACGGAGATTCAGAATATTCAGATCGCCGACGGAGATGTTTGCCGGAGCCTGTCTGTCCCCATATACATGGTCTTCCCCCGGCTGTTCACCTGCCCTACGCTGGAGACCACCAACTTCAAAGTGGGTAAGCGCACTGGCTCCCTGCCCGGGGCCTGCCGGGGTTCTCCCGCGAAGGCGGGGGGCCCAGACCCACACGGGTCTGCTTGGGGCAGGCTCGGCCCAGAGCACCCAGTCCTCCGGCCACTCAGCAGGAGCTCCCCGAGAGGCTGCCGTGCCAGCCCTGACCGTACACGTGAGCGGCGCCGGCCCTCCACGGGGAGACAGCGTGGCCCTGTCGCTGTAGGGCAGGGACCGTGGGTTCGAGAAGGAAACTAGCACACCGGGGAGCAAGCCCGCCGTGTGCGTGAGGAGGTCAGGCAGGCTCCTCTGATAGGCTGGCATTTGGGGGAGACTCGGAAGTGACCATCAGTGTGATCACCGTGAAGACTGCTGTCTTCCACCAGCTGGCGGTGTCTTGGTCATTTTCCATGACGAATATTTGTGAAGCCCCTTGAGTGCTTTTACCTGCCATGTGACCTCATAACAAGCACGTCGTGGGGTCAGGACATCCGTGGCAGGAGCAGAGGGCGCCAGACTCCGCTGTTTGCCAAACACGTACAAGGACGGCGACGTCTGCTAAAGACAGCGTGGGGTCAGATCTGACCCGAGCTAAGCTGCTGTGACTTTTTTTTTTTAATTAAAAAAAAAAATGTTTTTTTTAACGTTTACTCATTAGTGAGAGAGAGAGAGAGAGAAAGAGACTGAGCATGAGCAGGGCAGGGGCAGAGAGAGAGGGAGACACAGAGTCCAAAGCAGGCTCCAGGCTCTGAGCTGTCAGCACAGAGCCCGACGCGGGGCTCAAACTCCCCAACCGTGAGATCATGACCTGAGCCCAAGTTGGACGCCCAACAGACTGAACCACCCAGGCGCCCCGCCGCTGTGACTTTCCTCACAAAATGTGTATGATTATCGAATAGCTGGTGTGTGCCCACAGCAGAGAGGGCAGGGCGCCAGGGGCTGGAGTGCAGAGCGAACGCCCTCCGCTGCCCGCTTCCCCCCGCAGGTGCCCCCCTGGCGACCAGCGTCAGGCCCCCGGCACGCTGCCCACGGCATCCTAAAGGCCGTGTTTTACTTCAGCGTACTTTGATTTTAAGCCAGAAGGAGGAGCTTATCTGTTGCTTTCTCACTTGGTTTTTCTACATAAACTTCAAGAGCTCTAAACATTTTTGTTCTTCTGTGCTGTATTTTAAGCACCTAACTTTTTGCATGCTGTTTCTATCAGATTTAGAAAGTGTCCGTATAACATGTCATGCGAGCCTGCGATTCTTCCATATAAATCACGCCCTCAGTCCTTCAGCCGGGACAGCAGTAATGCTCTTTAGACCTGATCGTGAATTTCGTGTGGTTTGGGGCTGACAGGCTCCCGGACACGGGTAGGGACTTAGTGGGGCTCACAGGCCGCCGGACACGGCTGGTCGGGAGCGAACGCAGCAGAGGGAGGGCCCGATGGCTGGGCCCCGCAGCTCCCGTGGGCCCTGGAGTTGCCGTCCATGGGCCCGGCTGAGGTGAGGCTCTGGGCGTCTGGCTGGGGGGTGGGAGCGAGCCGTACGTCCTGAGTGTCCAGCGGTACCTGCGTGCGCCCCCTTCAGCTTTGCTGGTGCTGACCACACGTGACCCAGTGCCCCGGGCCCGGGTCCTCCCGCGGGGACCAGCTCAGGGCCCCGGAGCCTGGGGGGAATGGCTGTTCTGCCCCGTGTTCTCTGCAGTAAGGAAAGCCAGCACCAGCTCCGACCTGGGCCTTCCCGGCCTGCCGAGCGTCCAGCCATGCCATGCCCCCTCCAGGGAGGACGGCAGGGGGGCGGGGGAAGACGATGGCCACCAGAGTCCCATCAGGCCTTTCGAGTGCCGTGGCGATCGTCACCATGAGGAGAGAGACGGGGGCGCTGCTGGCCCACAGCTCCTGCCAGGGCCACCCCCTCCCCCCCCAGGAAGGCAGACAGACACCCTCGGGGACACTATCCTCAGGACTCCAGCCACGAGGGCCTTGGGTGAGGTGACTGCAGAGCCCCTTCCCCAGCCGAGCTGCCTTGGTGCTTGGCCCTGGCCTCTTGGCACGGAGCTCCCCGCTCACACACCGCTTTTGCCGTCGTCAACGAGAGACCGTTCTTTGAACCGGCGTCTGGGGTGAATTAACCCCTCCCGCAAAGAACAACAGTGAAACCGCAGTCTCTCATTTGGGGCGGGAGACAGGGACCCACACAGCTGGCCAGTTCCCATTCGGTTCTTCCATGAAGAACTGTTGGAAGGAAAAAAAAAAAAAAAGCAAGACTGAATGAGCAGAAAGGATTCTAGAAGATTCTCTCTGGTAAGGACAGAGGATGAGGAAAGTGTGGTTGAAAAGCTGACCTCTTCCTGTTCCAAGGAGAGAAGACAAATTCCCCTAGAGAGAGTCCTCCCCGGTTCCCCTGGAAGCTGAGGGTGACCGTCGCGGGTGGCGGGCACAGAAGCCCCCAGGGCTGCCTGTGCGCCCCTCACCTTCAGAGCCGGGCGGTGGGCGTGTGGCCTCTGCTGCGGGGGCAGGTGAGTGAGACGCCCGTTCTTTCTTTTCTCAGAATTTGAGGTTAACATCGTTGTGCTTCTCCACCCCGATCACCTCATCACCGAGAACTTTCCGCTGAAGCTGTGCAGGATGTAGCCCAGGAGTGGGCAGTGTGGACGGCGGGAGCTGCGGGGCGGAAATGCGGCTGGGGGGGGCCGACCCATGGGAGCCGAAGCCCGCAGCTTGTGCTTCCTTTCTCGATGAATCTGTGTCAGAAACGGAGCTGACCCTCGACCACAGTCGCCGTCGAAGCTTCTGCTTCCAGTGCTCGCCTCTCGTCAGACCTCTTCTTTAAGACTCAACAGGACTCCGTTGTTTTTGGCCAGATCGCTTGGCAGAAAGCAAAACTTCCTGGGACTCCTGACTTAACTGCCCCCTTGTAGAGGCAGTAAAACTACAAACAGCCGTTTGTGCTTGGCCGGACAGTGGGATCCCCGAGGCCGAGGAAACCCTCCGCACCGAAGACTCCCCCGCAGCAAAGCAGCTTCGCGGGATGGTCACGGGCAAGCTCCCGGCTTACGACGTTTGTGGATTCTGCTCGCGCGGGGCTGCGGGGACGGGGTCTGCGGATCATCCGCGCGGGGCCGCAAGGCGGCATCCCCTAGAACGGTGTAGCATTTTTTCCCGACTCTGTTCTGTAGTCCTTTTGTAACATTTTTCGTAACAACTTCCAAGTTCTGAGGGAACTGGAATAAAGCGTCCCTTCCTGGCACGGGAGGAAAAAACGTCTGTCTGCACCTGTTGTTGCTGGGTGGGTTCCGAATGGCAGGAGACCTGTGCCCGGGGCCGTAGGCGAAGACCCCTCTGCGGTGGGTGGTGCTGGGAAAATGCCCCGGACGTGATGAACTTGGCCTGCCCCCAAGCCTGTGACGGAGGTGCGTTCGGTAAAGCCACGCGGCTCGCGGAATGTGAGCCTGTTGCGACGCGTTTCTTCCGTCTGATCCAGCCATTGTTTCTGTTGGTCCGCAACGAACAGGCCTCAGAAATAAGCCGTGTGCTTCGCACGTTCCCTGGCCTCCCTGACTGTCCCTCCGCCCGGTCAGGCCTGAGCAAGGCGGCCGGCTGACCACCCCCCCCACCCCCGCACCCGGCCACGCCGCTCTCTTCCGCGACTGCGTCCCGCGACGGGTGAGGCCCAGGACGCACACGCCTGAGTCAGGCACCGCCTTATCCTGGGGCTTCGCCAGCGAAACTGACAGCGCTTATCCACGGAGTCATTCCGAAGCTGGCTCCCAGAGAACGCATTTCCGGTTTATAAATCGCCCTTTATGCTCACGTGACATTAATCATTGTCTTTGATGATGTGTTTAGAGTATCAGAAGACAAAGAGGGAAACTTTCTGGGAAACTTCAAAGGCAGAAGTCATTTTTAGTGAAAAAAGAAAAAAGCTAACTAAGAATTTTGAGAAAAGGTTTGGGATGTATGTTGCTATAGAATTTCTTTAGTTGACCGTTTTATGGATATAAATATGACGACTGCCCTTCTTAGGGGCTATTAACTCAAGACCTGCCAGCAGCCTGGCCGCTTTGATTTTCATCTCATTGGATCCCGAGCGGCCCAGGCAAGGGCCTCAGGCTGGCCATCTCCTTCCGCTTCCTGGCCAGACACCTCCCGTGGCTTTTTAAGGGAAACACAGATGTGTGGATATCTCGGACAGCGGCAACCACCCGGCTACTGTCCTGGCTGGCTGGGGCCGGGGTATCCGCTGTCAGGTGCCCGGGGCTGCCAAATTCGCCCGTTAGGGCAAGAGCGGAGGAGGGGGAGGGGAAGGAAAGAGTCTGAACCGTGAGTGCCTACCTGTATTAATTTGGAAACGCCCCTCGAGGCAGGAACGCACTTGGGCCGTCAGAGATCGGCAGGCGAGGGGCCTGGCTCCAGTTCTCGGCCATGTTGTAACTTCCGGCGTAAAGGCAAGAGGTAGATGAGAAGTCAGGTGTGAAAAAGCCACAGCGTTTGTGCCTGAATTCGTCTAGTCGATGTCCTGAGCCTACCTGCTCTGGTAGCTGGTGGGGAAGAACACCCTGGTGCCCTGTCTGCCCCCACCATTGGAATCTCGTAATTCCCAGTCTGGGTCTGAATTCTCCTCTTAAAGCTTGGGGGGTGGGTGGGTGGGGGGTGGCGCCTGGGTGGCTCCATCTGCTTCAGATCCTCTGTCCCCGCCCCTGCCCCTCCCCCACTTGTGTGCACCTGCGCATGTTCTCTTTCTCTCTCAAAAATAAATAAACGTTTAAAAAAGTATTTAAAAAACTTTGGGGGAGAAGATTACCTCCACGTGCAGGCAGAGATGCGGGCTGTGGCAGATGGCTACACTCTGGGATCCCACGATCCCTTTCAGAATTTTTTTTCCGAAATAATGTGCTTCCATGAACCCAAGGCCACCGGAGTAGGGACTGACTTCCAACTCCTTTGCTGCTCGGTGTGGTTGTGTGATGAGGAGGCCGTGGGCCCAGGAGCAGCCTGCCGCCCAGCCCAGCCTAGCCAGAGCTCAGCGCCCTCAGGGATGGTGGAGAAGCGGGACACCCGTCCCCGAACGTGTAAGAACAGCTCACCTCCCCACCCTGTGTGACCACAGGAGGAAGGAAGGGACACCTCTCCAGACCCCCAGATTGCCGGGAGGCTTGGCAGCCCAACCCCACCCCAGAGCGGGTGGCGGGAAGGGCAGGAGCCCCACACCGGGGCCTGGGCCTGGTAGGGCCGGAGGTACCCACGCGTGTGCAACAAACATCTTCGTGACCCTCCGAGCTGCGAGATGGCTTCGAGGCTCTCAGGGGTCCAGAACCCTGCTTGGGTCGGCTGGCCAAGTGCCAGGATGGGAGGAAGCCCAGTACCCCTGGAAGCTGCCATCGCCACCCATCGGGTGGCCATGCCCGGCCCCACCCAGGAAAACCTCCCTGACCCGAGTGGAAGGACCCAGGGCTGGTTTTCACGGTTACTGGTCAGTCGATTAAAAGGACTAAGTTGCTGGCTTCCCTGGAGAGAAGGGCCGGCTTAGCACCAAGAGTGAATTCAGGGAAGACAGCTGCACGGCATCCTTGTATCCTCCGCTTTGGGGGGAGAGCTGCAGCGGGCTTGCGAGGGTGGGCTCGAGGGTCTTGAGCCGGCCCCGACCCGTCCTTGAACCTTGTCAGGAGGTGCTGCCTCCAGCGAGGCTCCTCCTTTCCCTCCAGAGGGTGCGCCTTGAGCTGCCTGCTCGGGGTGGGGGTGGGGGGTGCTCAACCCTGGCGATTCTGAGTCACTGGATGTTGAGATACCACCGTGGGGGCACCTGGGTGGCTCAGTCGGTTGAGCGACTGGCTCAATTTTGGCTCAGGTCAGGATCTCACAGTTTGTGGGTTCAGGTCCCGAGTCGGGCTCTGTGCTGACGGTGAGGAGCCTACTTGAGATTCTCTCTCTCCCTCTCACTCTGCCCCTCTCTCTCAAAATAAATCAATAAACTTAAAAAATTAAAAAAAA